CGGGAGTGATGTGGCACGGCAGGCACAGCTCTGCATAAATCAGAAGTGCGCCTCTTCCTTGTACGACTCGTCCACTCTTGCTCACATCCTTTCCTAGGGTATTAAGTCTGGGGAAGGTTCCGGGAAAGAAATTGAGAGCAGAGGAACCAAGACTCGGCAATTCACCTGCAGGGAAGAGGAAGTGGACTGGTGGGACAGGCAGGGGCACGTTTCTGGGCCACTCCCCATGGTGGGGACAGCCATCCCACCTCTTGCATTTCTGTGGTGTTTCTGTGAGAGGCAGGAGCAGCCCCAGCACAAGCTCCTGCTGGAGGCCCATTTGTGGGTCTGAAGGAGCTGCAGGCACTGTGGTGCTTATTAGCTGTCTGTGCGCTACCCAGGGGCTGGCGCTCACTATGGTCACATGTGGCTTGAGCTGATGGCCTTGATCATCAGCTGAGGTAACGGAGCCAGGCACTGTTCAGAGGTGGCAGAGCCCATGGGAGATGGGTGCCAGAGTTGCAGCCAGCCCTCCATCTGGAAGTCCACCCTTTGTCCCCTCTGCCTGACAGGCCACTTCCTTCCTGTCTGCCTCCCGTCCTTCCCCTCTAGCCCTGACTCCTGTGCGGGCAGAAAGAGCCTGTGGTCACCTCGCCCCTCTGACTCGAGCTGGCCAGGCAGTAGAAGGCTTTACCAGGCAGTAGAAGGCTTTACCAGGCAGGTGTCTCCATGGTCAGTGAAAGGTCTCGGCTCAGAGCTACCCCACCCCAAGACTCAGTGCCAGCTTCCTGCTCGCTGACTGCAGGAAAGTGAACTCACCTGCATGGTGCCCTGGCCCAGCTGTGCCCACCTGAGAGGCCCTGGCAACAGCAACGGGGTGCCAGACACCCCCAGGCAGAGCCACTGAGGACACCACAGGTCCCGTGGACCCGAGCGTGTCGTTGGCGTGAGCGAGGGTGTGGTTGTGGTGGCTGTGCTGCAGCCCGGGAGCTGGTGGCACCACTGCCCTGTCCCTGCCAGCGTCGCCGCAGACGCTTTTCTTCCCATTGTGAGTCTTGGTTTTTTTTTGATACTGGGGATCGAACTCGGGCCCTTGCGCTTGTGAGGCAGGCGCCGGAATCACTGAGCTAAATCCCTCGTCCCCCATTATGAGTCTTGTCAAATTCTGTGGGGAGTTTTCCTCTTTAAAAATCACTCCTTGATTGTAAACTCTTTGCACAAGGGGTTCAAGGTTTAAAGGTTTCTCATCTACTGTCTTACATTATTTGAATTTGTCATCACAAGCATATTTTTCATAAGCGTCTTTACTATGAGAGCTACCCATTCTCGAGGCTGCTGACCCAGCAGGCCCCGCCCCACCCGGCGCCTCCTCCAGCCCCGGCTCCGCGCCCTTTCTCTGGTAGCCTCGGCAGGGGACCCAGCGGCTCACTCTGCCCACCCCGCCGGCGCCCGCGGGCTCCCCCGCCCCGGCCCCGGCCCCGGCCCGTGTTGGCGCAGGAGCGCGGGTGAGGCGCAGGAGCGCGGGTGAGGCGCATCCGCCTTCCTCCCTCCGCAGCCAGGCCGCCCGCCCGCTGCCGCCCTGGGTGCCCTGGCCGCGTGTCCCGCTCACAAGCTGCCTGCCAGCCCTCCTGCGCACCAGGTCTCGTGGCCCCATCTGTGCGCCTTTCCACCTGGACACCCCCCCCCCCCGCACGTCTGTGACTCCCCACAGCTGCCTGTTTCTTGTGCGCTGCCTTTGGGCCGGGCAGAGCCTGTGCAGCCCGGTGGAGGCGCTCAGGGGCCGTGTGCCTTCTGAAGCCAGTGGGGTTTGGGGCCACACTGACGCTTGCTTTCGACACCCTGCCCCTCCCGTCGGGCAGCTGTCTGGGCCGAAGCATCCCGCCCGTGGACCCCTGGCCTGCGGCCGTGCCAGCTCCCCAGGCGCCCTCAGCCCTCGTGGGAGAGCACGCTGGAGCTGTGTGGTGCCCGGAAGGAGGCGGACGGTCTCTGTGGAGGAAGTTTCTGCAGGGAAACAACCAGCTAGTTGACATTGGCTGTATTGTGTTGGTGTGTTGGGAATAAGCGCGTGTGCGTAATTACTTGAAAACAGGTTGGTTAGTGGACGAAACACAGTTGTGCAGTTAACAGCACCTAAACTAGGAGATAAATTCAGGTGGGACATGGGGCCAACAGCGGGACAGGGCAAAGTGCACCTCTTCCACACTCACCTCAGACAGCGCCTCAGACAACCCTAACCCTAACCCTAACCCTCCCAAGCCCTCCCCAGCATGGTGGGGAGCAGAAACCCCTGACCCAGGCCAGGCAGCGCCAGCAGGGCCTCTCCTTAGAGAAGCCTCTAGCACAAGGCCGAGGGAGATCTTTTCAACCTTACTTCTCAGTGCAGGGGTTTTATTGATTTGTTTGTTCTTGGGCAAGGCCCTGAGCAGGCGACAGGAGGATGAAACTTTGGGCCTTGAGTGCAGTGAGAAGCGACAGAGCCGCAGCCAGAGGCGGAGGTGCCCAAAGGCTCGAAGGGCGGCTGGGAAGCTCACCTGGAAGTTGGCAGGACGGTAGAGAGCTGGCAGGAGCAAAGGGGAGGAGAGGTAATAAGGAGCGGGGCAGAAGGAAGTCCATTCGGGTACCAGGGGCAGCAGCTGGGGAGAGGGCGTCACACGGGTGCTGGGCAGGGGGCCTGGCGAGGCGCCGTGCTCCAGCGTGGGGGGGGGGCAGTCCAGCGCAGCAGGACTGGTCCCCCTTCACAGGCCGTTGGGACAGAGTGCGACAGAGTTGTCTTGAAAGAGACGGACCATTTGTGGCTATGAGAAGCTGTAGTGGGGACGGCGATGCTCTGCAGAGCCTGCCCTGCTACCCAGGCCGGAGACAGGTGCGAGGGCCTGAGGGTCCCCCTGCCTGAGCTGCTCCTGCTGCTGCTGCAGAAGCCTAAAGAGCTCGAGGCTGATGGGGAAGGGCAGGTTAGCAGTTGCTACCGAGAGGGCCCTGCCCTGGGGCCCGCATGGTTTTCGGGTCTCTCTGATGTGGGCCGTGGACAGGTGCATCCCTGCAGATGGGCCCACGGAGGAAGATTTACCGGAAGGGCAGGGAGAGAGGAAGGGAAGGAAGGAGACCTCGGGGCCCGGCAGGATTGGGCTGCAGAGAGGCAGTGGCATCACAGGAAGCCCATGGCCATGACATTGCCACATGCCCCCTCTTTGAGGAGACGAATGAGCTCATTCTAAGGGAAAACAGCTGCTGCCCCAAAAGGAGAGGACAGACGAGGCAAACACGTGGTCGCAGCTCATCCTCATATTAGGGTTTGAAGTGTGAAATTTGAAACAGTGGTCCATAAATGAATTGAAATGGAAATGCGGAAGAAATAGTGATGTAGGAAGGTAAGCACAGAATTTATATTTTCAGCATAATTCCCCAGTTGATAATACATTTGTTGTCTCCTCTGTGAACTCGATTCCGCAGGACGCGTCAGTGCTTCAGGTGTGCAGCTGCCCTGGAGAGAGCAGGTCCCGGACTCCCCAGCCCCAAGGCCACCCCGGGCACCGTGCCCTCACCCTGACCCCAACAGGCCTCACCCGGGACAGACTCACGGCCCCGAGCGATTGGTCACAGACCCGGCAGCTCTCAGACCAGCCTCCACCTGGGCTCCAGCCTGTCCCCCGGGCGGGCCAAGGACAGGTTTGGGAGTGGCATCTTCCCCACGGCTGCCAGGCCTCCGCACTCCCCAGAGCCCCGCTCACCCTTCTCTGGGCCTTAGCTCTCCTTAGACAGACCCAGAGGCACCTCCCCGAGGCCTTGCTGTGTCCCTCTTCTTCCGGGGGACACTTCTCACCCGCCTCCTTTCCTTCCTCTCCGGACCTCTCCCAAGGGCTTCCGTTCCACAGGCGCTGCAGAGGTGCAGCTGCACACACTGTGCACAGCCCCGCGAGAGCCGTGCACTGAAGTGTAAGCCTCTGGGCACTTAGGCTGAGACACAGATAAGACATTTCATCATAAGCTTAAATGCAATTACTTTTACAAACGTGAGATAGGAAATAAACGTAAGATGGAAGATGAGGACATATTAGGAGTATTTGATGACATGATTTGATAAAATAGATTTGAAGAAGCTTATTGCAGAAAGCACAAAATCTGCTATTATGGAAGTTTTATCCCTGAGATTTTAGCCAGTGAATCTGGAAAATGTTTTTGTAATTCTAGAAAAATTCCAGGTACATGTAAAAAACTTGGTGTCAATCCTGTGTCACTTCCGTGTTCTCAGTTGAGAGCTCTGACTCAGGGCCTCTGTGGGTCCCAGGACACCCCAGGCAGCGCCTCCCCCACTGTGGCCTGTGCCCCTCCCTGCCCTGTGCTCCCTGCAGGCTGTGTGTCCAGTGCTGTGCCCGTCTGTGCACAGCTGGCACAGCGCAGACTCCTCCAGTGGCACTGCCTGGCGGGTAGACAAGTTTTTCCGGGCTCTGGAGGGTGGTGCCCCCCTCGGCAGGTGACCAGCCCAGCCTGTTGGGTTGAAGATGTTTGTCCCAGGCTGGTCTACTCTGAGCAAGGTGGAAGTCAGGTCCCAGCTGCCCAACTCTGTGTCCAGCCCCAGCAGGGTGAGGGGGAATTGTGTCTCGGGGTGGAGTTGGGGTCAGTGAGGATCTTTCCTGGGCTCCCGCCCTGCTGGCTGCTTCCCATAACAGTGTATTGCAATCAAATTCCCATCCTGTCCCGTTCACCCATGGGAAGGGTACAGTTCAGTGGCTTTGAATACAGCTCATTACCACAGCCCACCCCTTCTTTTAATTTATAAAAACTTGACGGATTAAAACAAAGGGCCATGGGACAAAAGTCACCTGAAAAGAGCCATCCAGTGAGAACACTGTAGGAAGCCACACTGGCGTCTGACCATTCAAAGCATGTTTACTACCTTCTGGCTGCTACCAAGTGTGGGAGTCAGGGGACAGTGGGGGTCCTTGACTTCTGTGTGGCTCCAGGCAGCTCCACCAGTCCCAGGCTAACCTGTCACTCATCTGTCTTCTCCTTCTCTCTCTCAGGTGTTCCACTGTGTCCACTTTGAGTGTCCGGAGCAGCAGAGCATTCAGAAGGATGAAAACAATGAGGAACTGGGGACAGGGGATGGCAGCCCAGCCACTCAGCAGATCGACCCTCACACCCTGCGGGCACCAGGCACCAGCTCGCTGCCCCCCAGCCCGGGCCCCAACGCATGCTCACCCAACCGGCAGCACCAATAAAGGAAGCAGTAGAGGGGTCTGTCTTACTTTTCTCGTTGCTGAGACAAAATACCCAACACTCAAGGTTAACAAACGGAAGGTTTATTGTAGCTCAGTTTGTAGAGCTTCAGTCCATAGTTGGCTGGCTCCATGGCAGAGGGGCACTGCAGAGGAGAAACAGTTCATGGTGGGCAGAAGGCAGCTAGTGAAGCAGCAAGCGAGGATCCTAGCCCCCTTTCTGCCCCATATATTCATTCCATCCAGGCCACACACCTTTAGTGGGTAGCAGTCACACACCCTTAACCCCAGCATCACACACCCTAGATTCAGCCACCTCTGAAAAGCCCCAGCCATGACCACATGAGGCTTTGGAGGGACGTCTGGACACAGCCACAGCAGGGTCTGACTTGGTGGCACAGAAAGTGACAGGAATGTGCCCTCCCTGGCAGGGACTTTTGTGGGTTGCCCTGGCCCCTTTCTGGGAGCAGACCTGGCTACAGAAGTGGACACTGAGCGGGTTTTCTCCCAAGGACAGAGAGAGCCATGTTGTTCCCATTTGTCCAAATCGGGCTGGGAGAAGGTGGCTCTCCGGGCTTCATCAAGTCCCCCATTAAACCCTGGCTCTCTAATCCACCCAGGCAGGGAGCAGAGGGAAGTCTCGGGCTGCCCTGCAGTACAGAAGCGGTACACACCGGAGCGGAAGAGAACGCATCAGGCCTTTATTACCTGGAGGTGCCCTGTGGGAAATGGGTTTCCATAGTGTTTACTTTTATGGAACACATTGCCTGGCAACGGAATGATTTTTTTATTTCTTTTAGTTATTCTCCATTTGCTGAATCATAGGTGTTCCAGATCTTTTTGAAGTAGTCCAGCAGCAGATCACTTGCTCTAATCCCTTCCGAGACTGTAATTTCCCTTGCTCAGTGCGGAATGTTTCTGCAGGCGGTGCAGGCAAGGCAGCTCATCCTGGCACCTGGTCTGACGGGAAATCCGAGGAACTTCAAGGAAATACACAATGAGTACATCAATCTGCAGGCCCTGGAGTCCATAATCACACAGATTGCTGAGTTATTAACCTGACATCCGGAAACGCACCCAGCCTGTGCGCTCGGAGGCTGCGGAGCAAACAGCTGTAGGCAGCCGGTAACTACTGTCCAGAGCAGCACGGTCCCCTGTGGCCCCGCGGAGGACGCAGCCCCGCCGCCCTGGGGTCAGGAAGGCGATGTGCAGGGTGACGGCCCTGGGGCCCGAGACCACAGAGGACAACGCAGCCCTGAGAAACTTGCCTCGGCTCCCCGGAAGGGCTCGGTGACCACTGCAGCTCAAGCGGGCCCTTGTCGCGTACCAGTGACCTCCCGGGGCCTGCGGTTCGGTGCCAGTGAGTCTCCCACAGGGAAGTGGCAGTGCAGCAGCGGGGAGAGGGCCGGGGCGGAAGGGCGGGCAGCAGCTCCGTGAGCTCCCCGAGCGGGGTGACGGCCGCCCGCGGGCTGCTGCCTCTGGGCGCCCGGCCCTGTCGCCAGTTAGCATGGCGCCCAGGGCCTGGGGACACTGGTGGCTCCACGTCACACCCAAAGGCGCCCCGACCCACAGGTGTGGCTCCCAGCTCATGGGGCCCCTTGGCGCAGGCACCTTCAGGGGCTCTGTCCGGGCCCCTGCTACCACGTCAGGACTGATCAGGACCGGGCTGCGCTAACAGCGCCCAGGGTGGGGCTCGCATCCTGCTGGGCTCGGCTGCCTCCCAGTCCCCAGGGCCCTGGACGCAGGGACCCTTGCTTGGATGGAGCCCACCTGGGCCCAGGGGCACCACCGAGGGCGCTGCCGGGATGGGGCCATGAGAGGCGGGCAGCAGGGGCCGCCGGGATCGCTGCTGTGCTGCTGGACCAGCGCAGGCCCAGACGTGAACCGAGGAGGAGGAGGACGAGCGCCCTGCCGAGACCGGGCAGCGCCAGGCTAGCGGGAGCCCTGGGGTGGGGGCAGAGCAGATGGGCAGAGCAGATGAGGATCTGTGTCCCCACCCGGCAGCCCGAGGCCAGGGGCGGAGACTGAGGCTGTGGCTTCCCAGGGCAGGGTGGGTCGCTGCGGAGGGGGTGGGGGGGGAGCTGCCTTCCCTCGATTGCATTCGGGGACAGTAGGAAGAAACCTGGGGGCGGCACCTGCGGAGCAGAGCAGCGTAACCTCCCACACGCCCGGGCTTCGTGTTTTCTCAGTGGTCTTCTGTTGTTTCCCTGACGCAGTTAGAACGAGTCTGTGGTGGATGTGGGACTCTTCTCAATTGCTCTTTAAATTGTCACTTTTTAAATCTTATTAAATGAAGTGTCGATTCCTGACAAATACATTAAAAGTGTTTTATTCCTAGAAGAGTTGGGAAAAGAAATTATTTCCAGCAAGGGTGGGATGTGTTTGTTAGACTGATTCCTTGGCCGGGAAAGAAGGGGCTCTGAATTGTGGGAAAAATTGCTTAGTAGTTAGGCCGTCGCCCCAGGTGTCCAAGTGCTGTGCACACAGCTCTGACCCGGTCAGCCTCACCTGCTCTTTAATTTAGAAGGTGACGAAATCGTAATCGCGGAAGCGTTTGTGGAGCCGTGGGGAGAGGAGGCGTGCCGTGCCAGGAACCCCTGCGTCCTGTTGGGCGCGGGGGCGCAGGGGCTCAGGCAACAGAGATGGGGCACGCGCTGCCGGCTGCCATTAGGGGCCTCCCTTTGGCCAGGGAAGGAAGGTGGCAGAGACAAAAAGAATCAGATTTGTCTCCTTCCAGGAGGGTTTTCCTCACGAGGCGTTGCTTTCCCACGTTGTCACTGCCATCTTGCCTTCCATGTGGTAGCTGGTGGCCAGGGTGGCCCGTGGTGGCCGCAGCGGTCACTGACGATGCGGGCTGCGGGCTCAGGCTGCGCGCCATTTATTTTTGTGGCCACAACCATCGATTCTGCGTGTTTATCCTGACAGCCCCAGCAGGAGCTCGGTGCTCATTAGCGGCCCTAGGAATTTAAAATGCAGTTCACGGCTCTGTACCACGGTAGGTTTTATTATTATTGTATTGAATTAGAAGTCTTCCTGGATCCCGGCGTTTGCTCAGGAGTTTGGGGGAGGAGGGACTGGGTGGCCTGCGGGTGCCCTCTCTGAGATGTGGACCCGGTCACCTGGGACTGGGCGAGGTCAGAGCAGGGGAAGCAGTGGCGGTGGCCTTTACCGTGGGGCCTTGGCGCACCCCGCTTGTGCAAGGGTCCCGGTTCGGTGTTCAGTACGCAGTCCATCGAGTGGCGCAGGGGCCCAGCCTGCACAGAGGCCCTGCTGAGGGCGCCCTGCTCAGGGGCTGAGTCTCGCCCTGGGCCTGCCACCAGGTTCTGGTCTGTGACTCCACCTGGCCCTGGCCACCACACCCCTCCGGCCGTATCAGGTTAGTTTCTGTTTTTTAAAGAACTAAAATATTCCCCCCAGAGCCCTAAAGACTCCCAGTCATCCACCTGTAATTTACGATGAATGTCTCCCAGCACTGCCATTTGCATCTGGGGGTATTTATAGCCTTGAGCAGGAAAGGAGGCGGCGGCCGTGCTGGGAGCCACACACCTGACCCCATGGCGGCTCCTGCTGGCCAGAGGCCCCTGACCCTCCTCCAAGGGCTGTCACGGGACCAGCAGGTGAAGGGGCCACTGTCCCCACTTGGGCACCACACAGCCTGAGCCAGGCCTGAGTGGAGCCCTGGTGACCCGGCTGTTTCAGACCCTGGTGAGCTCCAGGACCTCGAGCCTGGCTCAAGGATGATGCCTGCTGCCTTGGGTGGCTGCCACTGGCCCCGCGTTTCACTTCTATTCCCGTCCCCCGTCCTGCTACCCTAGGCCCAGCTGCCGCAGGGGTTGTGCCCTCCCGGACCTGCCCTTGGCTTTGGCGTCTGCCTGGGGTCCCTCAGTCAGGTGAGTGACAACAGTGAGCAGGGGTAGGACAGCTCTCTGGGGCTGTGGGGCCCGGCTGTCCCTAAGGCAGCTCCAGGTCTCAGGGTGCCCACCCTGAGACCGCACTGGGCGGAGGGGTGATGCTCCTTGCAGGTGGCCAGGGCTCACCCGAGTGGTTTCAGGCAAACTTGGGGTGATCTGAACTCCGGAGGACGTGAGCTGCCTCTGTCCTCGGGGTTCCTGGGTCTGTGAAGGTGCGGGTACCCGCTGGGCTGGCTGGGTGGCACAGCGTCCTCCAGGAGGGCATGCAGTGCCTGAGAGAAGCCCAAGACCACTCTGTCTGCACACAAGTGTGTGAGCAGGTGTACAAAGCGCGCGTGAATGGTCTCGTCTGTGGGAATGCTGCTGTGGGTTTTGCAGTACAGTGGTGACTTCTCCCTGCAGCCCCCTTCACCCGTCACCCCAGGCATACGGGATGCCCAGCCTCATCAGGACTCGGCCAGGCCCTCCATGTGCTCTGCCATGGTCTGCTCTGCCAGGCCCCACTTCCCGTCCACAGCCAGGAGGGGCCCTGGGCCCTCAGTGTAGCCTGGCTGTGCAGTGCCACCTTCTCAGGGCACAGGCTCCTTCCAGAGGACAGCAGCCCAAGTGAGGCCAACCATGCCCACCCCTCCCCCGCGGCCCAGCTGGCATGCTCTGGAGAGGAAATTCCCCGTCACTCCCAACATGGCTTCCCTTCCCCTCGTTGCTCCTCCCTGAAGCCAGCTGCCACCTGTTGTCTTCTACACGTCGGCCCTGGAGTGTCCCAGCTCGGGGTCCTGACCCAGCCTTCTCATCCCAGCACGCTCGCCTCTGCCTGTGGCCCCACACCTGGTGCCCGGTGGCATCCCCAACTCCAGATGCTGAAACGGATGCCCTGGCTACTCTGGACCACTGCGTTGCGCTGAGCGGGTGTCTCGTGGAAATCAGGTAGTTCCTGGTCACTCCATGTCACTTCTTCATGGAACCTAGTGGCAGGACGTTTCCTTTGTTAGCTTCCACTGGAGGTTTTGGCCTAGCAGTGTGGATGACATGAGGGTCCAGGGAGGCCCTGAGGGGCAGGAGGAGTGGGGCTGGTGGCAGGGCACGCCTGACTGCCGCTCACTGGACGCGGGCCTCATCCCGGGGGTGAGGCAGGTCCTGGGTGAGGAGGGAGCTGACCCAACTCCCACTGCACCTGCAGACATCACTGCGGGGGATGGAAACTGGAACCAGTTCAGAGGTGGCCATTTGCACCCCACCTGGGCTCGCCATGTGGCACATGGAGGGAAGGCAGAGGCTAGGAGCCCCCAAGTGGGGTCCTTTTTCTGGAGGTGGAGGCTGCAGCCAGTATCTGACACCACCAGCCACCAGAGGAGACCTAGCAGGTATTCAAGGGAAAAACGCACAAATTTTCAAGGGTCATGGTTGCCTGTGATGGAAAAACAGCAAGGTCCTCACATTTTGCTGGTCCAGAAGCCCAGGCCGCCCCTCCCTCTGCCACGGCCAGATGGCTTCCACACAGGGACTCCGGCCCATAGGGAATACCCACTTACAGGGGGACCGGAGTAGTCGGGACTGGCTAGTGAACCCTCGCTGGGCTCATGGTGTCCACGGTGCGGTGCTCTTCTGTGGAAACGTGGTCAGTGCTGCAGCAGAGGCATCAGTTCTGTGTCTGCAGGTCCACAGGGCTCACGGCCTGTCCTGTCCACACTCACCCACGAGGTTCCGATTCTGCAGCGGGCCCATGTTCCCCACGGTTCTGATTCTGACCCCTGCCCACATGCAGGAAAGTCGGCTGGGGGTGCAGTGGAGGTCACAGGTCTGTGGGAGGCTGAAGGCCAGTGTTCTCTTGGCCCACACTCATGAGGCCTGGAGGCTCTGTGGAGCCCGGACGTGACCTGCACCCTTTCTTTCTCTCCTTTCCCTTCTTTCCTTGCCCCTGCCCACCCTCCCTAGTTCCTCGTCCTCTCTGAACATTTTCTTCCTATTTCACAATACCTATTTACACTTTGGTCCTCATTTACACTTTGTTTCTCACACCAGAAAAACAATTCGATATTTACACACCTGTCCTATTTCTTTCACTTAAGAGTATGGCCTCAAGGTGCATCCCCTTAGCTATAAATGTCTCTAGTTAATCTTTATGGCTGGGTAGTGCCTCACTTTATATTTTTAAAAAATCACATCTTTATCCAATCACCAGTTGATGGGCAGTTGGGCTGTTTCCAAGATTTAGCTTTTACAAACTGCCGCTATAAACATGGGTGTGCATATATCACTGTGGTGTGATGCTTTTAATTTTGGGAACAAAAATGGGACCTCTAGTCCTAGTTCTTTGAGGTATCTCCATACGGATATCCACAGTGGTTGCACCAGTCTGGACTCCCACCAACAATGGAGAAGGGTTCCTTTCTCCCCACATCCCCGCCAGCATTTGTTATTGATTTCATGATAGCAGCCATTCTTTCTGGGGTGAGGTGGAATCTCAGCGTTGTTTTCATCTGCATCTCTCAAATGACCAGTGATGTTGAACATTTTTTAATGTTTATTTGTTGCTTCTACTTCATCTGAGAAATTTCTGTTCATTTCAGATGCCCATTTTTGGACTGGGTCTTTAAATTTGGGGGGTCTAATTTTTTTTAAGTTCTTTGTATATTCTAGATAGTAGACCTTTGAGGAACAGCTGGTAAAAAAATTTTTTCCACATTGTGGGTTGTCCCTTCACTCTGTTAGTGGTTTCTCTTTTTAATAAGATGAGATTCCAGTTGTTCTTTGTGCTAGTTCCCATTCAACTGAGGTTTTGTTCGTAGTCTTTTCCTACACCAATATCAAGAGTTCTACCTAACCTATCTTCCAGCAGGTTTAAGGGTTTCTGTTTTAATAATTAAATCATTGCTCCATTTCAATTTTATTTGGTGCGTGGTGAAAGATATGGGGTCTAGTTTTCATTTTTGGCAATTTAAAACTCAGTTTTTCCAGCACCATTTATTAAAGAGGTTATCTTTCCTCCAGTGAGGGTGTTTGGCTCCTTTGTTGAAGATGAGGTGGCTGAGTATGTCTGGAGTTGTTTCTGCATCTTCTAATCTGTTCCACTGATCCTCAGGTATGTTTCTTTGCTAGCACCATACTGTTTCATCACAGTAGCTTTGTTTTATAGTTTCAAGTTGGGGACTGTGATACCCCCTGCCTTTGTTGCCTAGAATTGTTTTTTGGTACTGGAGATTGAATTCAGGACCCTGCGCTTGCAAGGCAGCCAGTGGCACCACTGAGCTAAATCCCCAGACCCTAGAATTGGTTTTGCTATTCTAGGTCTCTTCTGGTTCCAAATGAATTTTAGGATTGTTTTCTCTACTTTTGTGAAATATGTTGTTGGAATTTCACTTGGGGCCTTGAATCTATATAGCAGTTTTGGAAGGATGGCCATTTTGTACTATTTTGGTTCTTCCTACCCAAGAACAAGGTATGTCTATTTTCAGATATCCTCTTCACTTTTTTCAGAGTGCTGTAGTTTTCAAAGTAGAGGTCTTTCACTTCATCAAGATTGATTCCTAGATATTTCCTTTCTGGGGGATGGTATTGTGAAAAAAATTTTCTCAATATTTTCCCCAATTTGTCTCTCAGTGGGTCTGTTATTCGTGTAGAGGAAGGCTATTGATTGTTGAGTGTTGACCTTGTATTGAGCTATTCTATTGAATTTGGTTATTAAGTCTAGAAGTCTTTTGGTGGCGTTTTGGGGGTCTTCTGGGTATCATGTCATCCACAAATAGTGAATTTAACTTCATTTCCTATCTTTATTCCTTTTGTTTCTCTTGTCTAATTGCTCTGGCTAATATTTCCAGAACTGTATTGAACAGGAGTGGCGATACTAGACATCCTTGACTTGTTCCTGATTTTAGCATGAAAGATTTCAGTTTTTGGCCATTTAGTATTATGTTGACTGTTGATTTTTCACAGATGGCTTTTATCAGGTTGAGATAAAGCCTATGTATTCCAATTTTTTGTAGGGTTTTTTTTTTAAATCATGAATGGGTGTTGGATTTTGTCAAGTGCTTTGTTGCATCTATTGAGATGATCATCATAGTTTTTGTCCTTGGCTCTGTTAATGCAGTGTATGACACTTACTGATTTACATATGTTGAACCATCCTTGCATCCCTGGGATGAATCCCAGTTGGTTATAGGGTGTTTGATCTTCTCAATGATCTTCTGTATTCTTTTTGCCAGTATCTGACTGAGGATTTTTGCCTCTATATTCATTATAGAGATTGGCCTGTAGTTCTCTTTTTCGGTTGAGTCTTTCTCTGCTTTTGGTTCAAATCTTGTCAGGAGCCTCCATACTGCTTTGCATAATGGCTAATTTACATTCCATAATGTACTAATTTACATTCCACCTTTTCTCCAAGTCCTCATGGACACTTGTCATCATTCCTTATTTTTGCAGTAGCCACTCTAGTTGGGATGATATACAATGTGGGTAGTGGTTTTGAGCTGCATTTCTCTGATGACTGAGGATGGCAGGCAGGATCTTCTCCCCCTCCCTTCCCTTGACTCAGGGTCTTACCATGTATTCTGAGCTGGCTTCCAACTCAGGCTATATAGCCCAGGCTGGCCTCAAACTCACTGTCTTCCTGCCTCAGCCTCACGGAGTGCTGGAATCACAGGTTTGTATCACTGCACCTGGTAGCCTTTCCTGAGAGAAGTCTATTTGGGTCTTTTGCTCATTTAAAATAAAAGTTATTTGATCTGAGTTTTAAAATTTTATTTTAAATGATAAACACAGTAAAAACAAAAATTTCACATATTTATTGAGGCAATGTGTAATACTCTGATACATGTATACAATGATGATGTTTACTCAGGAGAAACGGGTCAATGAACATTTTTTCGTATATTTTAGATATTAACCCCTTATCAGTGTACACTTGTAAATATTTTCTCCCATTCTGTAGGTTCTTTCCCTACCCTGTAGTTTCCTTTACTGTTTAGCTTATTTTAGCTTTATATAGTCATATGTATTAATTTTTGCCTGTGCTTATAAAATCTTATTAAGAAAAAGCTTTCCCCAGAACAAGGACATGCAGCCTTCCCCATGTTTTCTTCTAGTAGTTCTACACTTTACATTTAATCCATTTTGAGTTGTTTTGTATCACAAAGAGTCTAATCTTGTCCTTCTGCAAGCAAACATCCTTTCACAACACCATTCATTCAGGACTTTTCTCCATTGTGTGTCTTCGGGACCTTTGTTGAAAATCCATACACACTTCAGTGTGTGGCTTCCCATCCGACTGCACTAGACTGTGTCTGTTTTTATGCTTGTACCTACTGTTTTGGTTGCTACAGCTTTTTGATACATTTTGAGGTCAGGTAGTAGGATGCCTCCAGCTTTGTCCCACCTGCTCAAGACTGCTTTATCTATCTGGGGTCTTTTGTGGTTCCAAGTCAATTCAGGGTAGATTTTTTGTATGCCTGTGAAGAATGTCAGTGTTTTGATAGAAACTGCACTGATACCCAGCACCTTTCAGTCTGCACACTAGGGGAGGAGCTGCTAGCTGGAGATGCAGTTTGAAAGCTGGTGTCTGAATGGTTACAGACTCATCTGTCCCTTCATACCCCTCCAGCTAGTGGGACAGCAGTGAGGCCACAGCTGTGGCCTCAGGAGTATTGTAGAAATCCACCCATGACCGGGCCACCCCAGTAGAGTACATGCCTAGCAGGCACAGCCTCTGAGTTTGAGCCCCAGCATTTAAAAATATTATGACTGTGAAATTAGGCTCAAAGATGACTATAAGGAGAGAATTCAGAACAAATTACGTGATTTAAAAATGTTAGCAAATACCTGATCAACAATAACATCCAGAACAGCAATGAGGCACTTTTCCCACCTGGCCCCACCTGTGTGGTGCCTTGTTCCTACCTTGTCTGGCCAAGTCCTCTTTGATGACCGCTTCCTGTGATGACTGCAATCCTGCACAGAAACAGATGCCCCAGCCTCTCCTCTAGCATGGCTGATCAAGACTTGCTGGGGATTCTTAATACTTCAGAAGAGTTTGTTTCATCTTCACGAGTTATACCAGAAGAGCCATGTGACTCTTAGGAATCCTGTAGAATGTGCAGAAGCTATGACCATCCTTCTTCCAGCTATAAGTGGCGGGACTCTAGCACAGGCCAAGCCTTCCCAAACCGACCTTCAGCCCTTGGCAGAGCGTGCTGTTTGTACCACTGAGGAAACTGTTTCTGACTTGAGCATCTTCTGTTTGGAGCAGGCATTAGGAGTCAGTCTGCTTTTAAATTCACACATCTGCTGACTGGAAGACACGCTAGCTCCTAGCGCTTGACATTCAGCCTTGTCTCTGCCACAGCCAGCCCTCCCTGGGCACCTGGTCTTTGGAAACCTGTCCCAGCACTACACGGTGAGTTTCTGGGAGCCAGGTCCTGGAAGGCTGGTTGTGGTCAAACACCTTGAACATGTAGGCGGATGGTGCATTCCAACAGCACCGTTGGGACATCATAGGAAAGGTGCCACCACGGTGACTCTACAGGGACCCCACTCAGCACACCTGGGAAAGGGTGCAGGGGGGGACATACACTGGGTGCCAATCATGAAAGAAGCTGCCTCACTCTGAATGGGGCCAGCTTGGAAGGCCCTGCTCACACAATGTTTTTGAAGAGTATGGCCGAGTGTTAAATTTTTAAAAATGTATTACAGTAAAAGACACACTGACATTAATCTCCCCCCAAATCCTCCCCCTCACTTCAAACACACTGATCTGGTCATTCTTGCCACTTTCTGAAGCAACTTTGGAGGTCCCTTTTTTTGAGTGTCTTTAGTTGCACTTTTGTGGTTGCCTTGATGTCCTGAATTGATTCAAAATATTTACTTTTTCTGGTCATTTTGGGGAAGAGCCAAATCTTCTTGGTGCCCGATCTGGTGACTAAGCTGGATGAGGACACATATGTAATGTTTTTATGAGCTGCCTTTCTGTTGGATGGCATTTGTCAGCAGCATTCATCCAACTTATGATCATAACTGAAAGACATTCATGAAAGAGGACTTCCAGAGCTGCTTCCAAAATAGCAAGGATGATGGGATCAATGTATTTTAATCAAGGAGGAAGATTCTGAGGATTAGTGGCAAGATGTCTTTTACTGTAATAAATTTTTAAAACTTTAAACATTCACTGTGTATCTGGATTACCCCTTGTGTACAGCCTCTCTGGGGTGTGGCCCAGGGAGGCAGAGGCACCTGTGCAAGTCGGCTGGCTGACACTGGGGCTGCAGCTTACCCAGTGCCCATTCGCACGAGGGGTGCTTCCGTCAGTCACTGTGTGTGGAGGGGCCTGCAGCCCCACTCCTGGCTCCCACGCACACAGATCTATGGCCTGGCCATGGGGGCAGGCGCTGGCCAGCAGCCTAGGAGATAAACCCATGGCCGCTCAGCTCCCAAAGGGCCCCTTCTATTTTTTTTAAAGCACTTGATCTTTTTTTAACCCGTGTTACAAACTTATGTGTTTTAACTGTAGAAACAGTAAATAGGCTTCCTGCATTCCCCGCCCACACCAGATAACACTTTGAACCTTGAGCTTTTTCTCCTGCATCTACTTCCACATTCTAAGTAAGACTTAATGTTACTCTCTCCGCTCCCGACTTGACTGACTGCTCACTGTGGACCAGGAGCACTCAGCTCTGGGGTCTCTGCACAGCCTCACACAGCACATCCCCTCGCCCCCTCCCCAGCTCCAGCAGAGCTCACCAGCAGTTCTTACCAGAGCAATACTCATTATTCTTCACCCGTACTTATGTTACTCTTTGTGTTAATCATCACAGCTGAGACCTGCAGGGTCAGTAGTTCCTCCTCCTCCTTCCTTCCTTTTTTTTTTTTTTTGCATTTACACTGTTTGCTCTTATTTGCTTCATATTCTATGTATACTTCAGGATCGGAGATCTCCCCAGCCCCTCTGACTGAAGTGTGAATCAGGTGCTGACACTTTTAGGCTCAAAGGACCTTGCAGCAGGCTGGTGTGGCCTGAACTGTCCTCGGGCGGCTCTGGGAATGGCTGCAGAGATGTACTGTGCTGGGACTCTCCCAGGTACTTCTGTTGTGTCCATCTGGGGTGCTCCTGCTCGGTGACCACCATGCCGCCTTCTTGCCCCCAGGAAGGTGACCAACTTTGGCTCTTGTCCGCCTGCTTGCTCACCCCCACCACTCACTCTCAATTTAAGGGTCCTGAATCATCCTCACGAACAGTGTGGGGTTCCCTGCCTTGGCCCCACAGACGTTCCCTATACTTTTCAAAACTTAGTAAGTGTACGCACAGCCCGCCCTCCCACCTGCACCAGGCTTTCGTCAGCTGGTCCGTGGGTCCTTCCTTGGGCGGGGCACCAACACCAGTCCCTCAGTGCCTCTGGGACTCAGGCCCCCAACAGCACGCCTGGGGCCCCCTGGGCTGGTGCTCGCATCTCCCCATATTCACCTGGTGCCTCCGAGGCAGAACCGCCCAACAGACATAGGGAAGCGGCTCTTAGCCTGAGCCACGCCGAGGAACCCGAGGACTCTGCACGCCACAGCCCCCTCTTTCCAGCCCTGGCCAAGGAGACGCTTCACCACCTTTCTGCTATCCAGGGGGCATTTGGGGAACCGGTGAGATAGAGAAATCCAAATGTTCATACGATTGGTTTAATTTTTTTTCAGCAGGAAAAAAAAGAATAAAGTTACAAGATTCTTTTAATATTTTCACAATGTTAAAACTAAAACTGAGCTCTAGGCTATGTGTGTAAGTAAATCTAGAACACAAAAGGGTTAAATAAGATTTTTCTCTTTAAAGATACAAGAATTTAAGCTTTCCTTACATTTAACAAACTTCACAGAACAGATACTGTAGGGGAACAAGCCCTTCCTCCCCCACCCGGCTCTGCCGTCAGAAGTGAACGTGGGCTGCAGTCCCTGTGTGCACCGCCTCTGCCCCTTGGCCGCCTCCATGCAGCGGCTGGGCTGAGGAGGCCAGCGAGGGCGCACTGTGCGGCCTCTTTGGGGCTAGAGTGTGGTGGGGGCCTGGGTGGGCGCCTCACGGAGGATGGCCAGAGAGGCCAGAGGGCCGTGGCTTGACAGCAGTGGTAAACGCTGGGCAGACTTGGCACCTCTGCTCTGGGCTGCCCGAGAGCAAGACACCGGTCTGGGTCCTGAAGCAAGAATTAAGGCTGGAGATTTTGCAGCGGATTCCACTCTGGTGGGGTGGAGGGTGTGGTGGGAGGAGGAGGTTGGAAAGAGCATGATTTCCTATTTCATTATTTCGGATCAAAAACATTTATGGTTGCAGGTGTTCTGTGGTTAATTTGCAGGCGGATGAACTGTTTGTGTTTTGTACAAAGGAAAGTTGCTGGGTTAAAGCAGTCAGTAGCATGGGTGTGCGCCACCCACCCTGCCCTGGCAGGAGCCGTCTGCCCTCGCCCACCTGGACCTGACAGGGTGTGGGCACCGCCTGTCACCTGATGCAGGCTGTCAAGGGCATCCTCAGCTGACGGGTAATGATTTTCTGACACAGGCAAGCAGGCCCACACCCCTCTCCCCTTCTGGCCCAAGCTACTACAGCTACTGAATGAGTCTCTGCCCACATGAAGAGGCACAGGCTGGGCATTGCCGTCCCACAAGCCTCCAGCCCCAGCCGCCACGTGGTGTGGCTTGTGACGTGGTGCAAACCACTGTTCAGAGACCCAAGCCCGCAGTGCTTGTGAAGCATGCTGCCTTCCCTTCTAAACATGCCATGTGGTACAGGTGGACTGGCCATCCTTGGACTATGGGACTGCATAGAAATGAGAGGGGAGGCCACAGTGCCATCCTCTAGGCCCCTGGAGGGACGAGCAGGCTCCGGCTGCAAGGGCAGAGGCTGTGTGGGCTGCAGCTTCCCCAGCACACCCGATGCCTGTTGACTACAAAACGTCTTTTTTAAAAAAAAACAACTCCCCATGTAGAAACCGGGCTGCAAAAGGCATTTGCAGACCCCGGCCACAGCCGCTGTGCTGCCATAAGCCTTATCTGATCAACTGCCAGGTCCCTGCACTTGGCAAATGGCAACCAGAGCCACTGGGGTCAGACAACGGGGCTGCTTCTCGTGACCACGGATCCTATGTAGAAGATGGGTCTTGTGCATGGACTAGTCTTGAGCTAATTTTCAAAGTGAGGTTGTTTCTCTTCTTGTAGGATGAGATTTTTCATAGCAAATCAGGTAAAAAAAATTTCCGTAAGAATCTGCCCCCCACCCCCCATTTCCAGCTCTGTGGGAGAGCAAGGCCACCACCCAGCCCAGCCACATGGCCAATGTCACCAGTCTCCTGTGGCCACCAGGTGTCCTGGCTACTGGGATTAAGGATAAGTGAAGAGGTGAAAGGCCGAACATTAAACAGAGTTTCTGGCAAAGCCATGTGCGTCGTGGGAACTTTAACACCAGCTTCTACTCCTCTATTAACTCAGAGTCTCCATCTGGAACACTTTCCGCTTAAGGCTTTTTATAAGTTTGACTCCAGCAGTGACAGGTATGTGTTGTTTTAAATCCACTAGCCATGCTCAAAAAAAATATTCTTCATGTTTTAATTTTATACAATGGCTAGCAGGCACCTTAGTAACCAGCCAGAAATCAATTTCAACCACCATCAACCCCTAAACTACAGTACCAGGATGGCTGGCTAAAGAAAGGAAACAGACTGGCTGTAGTCTGACATGTGCCCAGTACAAGGTGTCGGGCTGACTCTGTCCTAAATAAGGCTAACATTAGTGAACTACGAACAGCGTCATGTGGCGGCCGAGCCTGGCCTTCAGGAGCACCCCTCCCCGATGCGCTGGCAGGAGCGCCCTACTTTCCGGTCCAGCTTCACCATCTTCATGATGGCTTCCTCTCGGCCACGGCCCATGTGGTCAAACGTACAGTCGTGCTGCTCAGGGAGGCGATGTAACATGCAGAACACGTACCCTGTGGCGGCGGGAGAAGCACAAGAGAGAGACTTGTTAGGTCGGAGGATAGCCGCCAGTCACAGCAGGGCCTTTAGCTGCCAGGGTTTACAGCAGCCTCAGAGGCTGCTGCCCGGGCCCAAGCTGACCAAGGCAGTGAGACCAGCCCACACTCCAGCCGCCAGTCAGGCAGGCAAGCTCAGCACTCCACCTGGTTCCTGCAAACTATAATACCCAACACAGGACACCAACCATTTCTAGGTGGCAGAGAGGGAAGAGAAAGGATTGTGGCCTAAATTACATTCTATTCCTATGTAGCCAGGGCTCCGGGGGACGGTGGGCATGAGTGGGGGCTCTGGAAAGAAAATGGATGACTTCAAGACCTGGAACAGGTAACGTGAGAGATTCTGAAATGCCCTCAGGAGGCACGAGGTCGAGGTCCCCACTCAGGGCTCCCATCTTCTCTGCCCTCCCACACCTGCAGGCAGCCTTGGGCCCTCTCTTGGGGGAGGACAGAAGTCCACGGGAAACACTAGCCTGACCAATAGTAGAACAAGAGTCTGACGAGAGGTCACAGAGAGGGGAGATGGCGCAGAGGAAGAGAGGACCTCGGGGGTCAGGAGAGGCTCTGAGGACAAAGGGGAACACAGGACCACGTGAGAGAGGAGCCCATTCCCACACCGATACATGGATGTGGTAGAGGCACCAGTCAGCTCCTTAGGGAGGGCAGATCTGGGCAGGAAGACAGCTGCCAGTGCTGGCTGCTGCTGTCACCTCTGCCACCCTCCTGTCTGGCCACCCCTCAAGCCCCAGGTCCACAGGAGCAAGCCCACAAGTGCAGGCAAATGGGCTCCTAGCCCTGTTCTCCCTGTGCATGCCACAGGGGCCCCAGGCCTCTGCTCACTCATTCTCCAGGCTCCCTCCACAGCTGCTTGCTTTTAGGACTGGATCCAGAAAATGATGGCCACCCTTTGAAAACTGACATATCCATCCTGCAGCCTCTACTTTTTGTTTTCAGAGACATGGAGACTATGATTTCAGAGGAACAGCAGAAGCTGAAGAAAAGAGTGGCAGGATGGATGAAAGTTTCAACAGCCTTAAAGTTTAAGATTCAGTGGCTTTAACTTTTGCATCCACTTCATCTAGCCAGTGTTCCTCAACCTGAAGGAGGCAGTTGTGTGTGCAGGGGGTGAGGGGACACAGGCGGCGCTCACACTCCACCAGAAGCCTTGAGTTCAGGCTTGGCCATGGCACAGGGGGGGCAGGGGGGGCAGGGCGCGTGTGTCCACTGTCAGGAAAACACATTATGAACTGCTTCCCAGGGAGAGCAGGGCAATACGCCTGACTCTAAATTGGGACTGGGTTTATGGAAAAGAACAGAGATGAAATTTTGTCTCCTGAGAAGCCAAGCTCCCACTTGGTCCAAAAGCAAAGTTAAGATTAATAAGCGCATGTGTTATAGTTACTGATAAGTTCATTACTCGAAGATATTGGACACCAGTTGTCTTTCCCCTAAAGGATTTCACAGCAGAAGCATGCACAGCTTCAATATGCATCTTCTATCGAACAAGCAAGATCATCTTTCAGAGCAAATGGCATCAGGCTGTGTCTGTAGACATTTCTGACACCAAATCCTGACAAACTTCTGGACCTGCAGAATCTACAATAAGGGGCACAAGACCCCTGCTACCCATTCCCTTGTAGATACTGGGACGGGTCAGGAAAAGGCCCCAGAGGTGCTTCGCTCCTGATGAACAGTGCTGGTTGAATTAAGCCCACTCCTGGCTCAGCCTAACCCCACCTTGGTCAAAGGCAGACTGGGGAGAGGCTCTGGTCTGGTCCTCACCGCCAACCTCAACACTGTTAGGCTGCCTTCCCCCAGCTGGGGCCAGCCAACACTGGAGGGAAATGGAGAGTATGACAGCCCTGGCAACGTTGCCTGACGTCCTCTCTATCCACCCACGGACTCTACGCCTAGCCAAAAGTCTTATTTCCATTCCTGCTTTGTAAGTTCTGTGTACCTGTTAGACACTTGGCTTCGATTTCTGAACAGTGAAAACTGCCTAAAAGCAGCTACATTTTGGGAGCAGCACTAGTAACAATGGGGATATATGGCACTGTAATTCTCTGGGGAGGCGTCTCAGGGAAATTCTGGAAGGCTAACGTCCCAGGTTTCGGCGCCGAGGCTATTAGATGGTATAAATCACTGCTGTCAGGACCACTCACTCAGAGGAAGCTGTATGCTGGAACTTGCCCCACATGCTGACTTTCTCCACTGATGGCGGCCAGCGGCTAAACGCACTGTTGTCAGCAGCAGGGGTGTGTTGCCTCAGAGAGAGGACGGCAGGCAGGGGTGGGTGGGAATGACTGGTGGCAGAATGTTATCTTTATCCTCTTTTTCTTGGAACACGCAGATGTGTATGAACTCTGCGTGGTGCTCTGGAGAATTTGGGAGACTAACCTATGTACGGAGAGAGCTGAGTCTAGGCCACAGTGTGTGTATGAGAGAGATTGTTCTTGACTTCAATGACAGATACATCTTACAGCACAGGGAGGTTTGCAGCCTGGGCTTGGCTAGGCCAGCCTCAGCATTTCCTTCAGACACTTCACTAGAAACCAACTGGGTTTCCATCCAGAACTCATGGAATGGATAATGACAGCCACCCAGGGCATCATGCAACTCTTTTTCCTACTGACTTAAAAAATTTATATATGAAAACTAAAATTCACTCACTCTAACAGCCTCATATCTACCCTCTCCTTATGGCCCCACTGTTTACCAGCATAAAATTCTATAACCAGTTTCAACGTACTTTCTGCTCACCACAGCTATAATGCACACAGTGCTCTGAAGGGACGGGGCTGGGAGTATAATTAAGGTGCTCACCCACCGGAGAGCTGCAAAACAGCCAGGGCCACCATTTTCGAAAACATGATCTGCCTGCTAAACGTGGTTTAACCTCAGCCCTTTCCCTGCCAAGAGCCCAGGATTGCTGGGTTTCCATGAAGACTGACCCAAGAAAAAGCTGCAGAGTTCCTTTAAGGCTGTCTGAGCTGTTTTGAGTAAATCTGCACAAAATGCTCAGGAACTCAGGGGCGTGCGTGCGTGCGTGCGTGCGTGCGTGCGTGTGTGTGTGTGTGTGTGTGTGTCTGCTTGCTGGCACTGAAGAGTAATTTGGGATGAGCCCTTGATTAAAAGGGAGGGTGAATCAGCAGCTCCCTAAGCACTTTGTTCTGTGGCCCCACCCACCCTGGTGGTCTGGACTGCAGCTTTTCTCTGCTGCCACATCCCATCCGGGCAGCAACTGGTATGGGAGGGCCGGAGATTTAGCTCAGTGGTTCCGGTACCTGCCTTGCAAGCACAAGATCTGGAGTTCGATCACTGGTACCAAAAAAAAAAAAAAAACTGGCAGGGGATGAGGGAGAGGAGGACTAAGGAGGGAGGAGGCCTGACCACACCTCCATCAGGGCTCACTCGGAGGTCATGAGAGGGACCCTGCAGCTCCACCCTCAGTTGTGAGAAGGCAGCATTAGGAGGGGGACAGACAGGAAGGGGCTGCCAACCCAGGGACAGCAAGCAATGAAGAGGGAGCAGTAGCTTTCTTGACTCTGTCACTACCGGACACACAAGACCACTACACAAACCTCAGTCTGGAGCTCGGAGTGGGTCACCCGCCCTGAACACAGAGGCCACTTGTGGGCATCAAACTAACACGTGTGACTGACTGAGCCCTCCTCCGCAGACATGGGGCCTTGGCACATGGATATGAGGTGGCTGGAAGGAAAGGTCCTGGGAAACACATACCCAGTAGAACAAGGGCTCGCTCTTCCAAGACTCCTAAAAGCCTGACGCGCAGATTTCTAAAAACGCTCATTTCATGGGAACCAAACTTCTGACCTCACCCTGTAGTTTTTAAAGCTAACACATGAGATTTATCCAGTTCATTCAGATGCTGTCACCCACAGCTAAACCTCACCACTGCTTAAACAATGTGGAGGGTTTTGTGGCTAAATCTACATTACATATTGAGGGAATCAGTACAAATGCCATCACGAGGCCTCGACACCCAACTCTGCGCTAAGTGCTGTGGAAGCTGCAACAGTGTTTCCAGCTGACCAAGAGGACACTCCCAGGAGCTGCCCAACCGGGTCTGAGGAGGATCTGCAGGCTCTGCTAGCTCCCTTCAGTCCCTGCCCTGTGCTACAGGGAACGCCCATGCATGGGAAGGAGCCCACTCTAAGTACCACCCAGGTGGGCTCCTACCCTTGGATGAGGTCCAGGCCCCTCACCCCCCAGGCCAGCATTTCCTTCCATGACGTAAACGTCCTTTACCATGGAGTATGAGGAGACAAAGTGATGCCAAAGTTCATTCAAAATTTGAGCCTTTGACATTTTCATTTTATCCCTGACACAAATGCTTGCTGGTTTTCTTGGAGTAAAAAGAACCATTTAAAGCTGACAAAACTGGGCAGCTCTAGACGCTTTCAGACTTTAATTAAACACTTGCTTTCTTGCAGACTCCCCCATATGGAGGCTCCTCCAAGTGTCTATTTTATTAAAGCCACAGACCGGGGCGGGCCTAGCTCCAGCTGCTCTGTGCTTTCATCTAGCTTGCAAGAAATGTTTTACACTTTCTTGCTCATATGAATTTCAAATTCTCAAAGGTTCAAGCAGAGCCTAAAAATACTGATAGGCCATGGGGACTGAGGTACTGTGGAATGCTCCACTGGTGTGCACAGAGGTGCGGTGGTGGTGCACATGCGAGCTCTGCACTGGGCACTGCTCACAGGCCCTTGGTGCCCTGCTGGGTACAGCATGGAGCCAAGGCCACACAGGACACCCAGTTCCGAGGTAGGGCAGGGAACCGTGCAGATGCACGCGGCCACTAGCAAAAAGAACCTACAAGACTCCCGGCACTTCCTGTGGGCCACCTCCAAATCTCAACTCATTTGCAGGCACCACTTACTATCTATAGGGAAACAATGAATGTGCTGGGCCTGTGTGTGTGGAACAACCAGGCA